AACATGGAAATCTTGCCATAAACATAAACATAATTTTCTGCTAACTTGTTTTTTTACAAAAATAATTGATTGAAAAAATTAAAACATAACAAATTAAACAACTATCCAAATTAATCACTAGTAGGTGTGAGAAAACCTTTATTTTATATAGTTCTCTTAACCATTTGCTAATTATATTTCTTCAGTAATTAAATAAGACAATAATGATTAATTAAAAACCATAAACATAAAAATATATGGAAACATAACATAAATATTTGTCGTTAATGATGTCTTCAAAATCCAGGAAACTTGTTAGATTTTAACATATTCGAAAATAATTTGAATTTTAAAAAACTTTTGAAACTCAAAAAACACAATAATATGAAGTACTTATTGCAATCTTATCACATATATAATAAAAAACTGCTTTAACAATTTTTTTACTGAGAAATCGCCATGTCCTATCTCACCCCATGTCCCATCTCACCCCGTTCTCCCCTACTACGGCGTCTCCTGTTTATTAAACCTCCTTGAGCCATACTTTCAAACAAATTATAGTTGCTTTTCGGGACCATTTTTATGAAACAAAATATTTTTAAAAAATTTTTCTCAAGTTTTTATTGAAAACTGTAACTAAACTCATTTAAACGAAAACTTAAAGAATTAATTTTTACACTTGATAATTTGGTAATATACTTTTAATATATATATAATTTTATATATATATATTTTTGCTTTTTACCTTTAAAATTTTTTTTCTTAATAAAAAAACTTTTAAAAATTTATATACCAAGACTTTTATTATTAATATTGGTAAAAGATAAACAAGATAATTACAATTTTTTTTCTTAGAGAAAAGTCCGTTGAAAATATTTAAAACTGTTATATATACTACATATCCAAAAAAAAAAAAAAAAAAGAAAGAAAAATGCAGTTTTCTTTTCTTTTTTTTTTTTTTTTTTTGATATATAGTATATTTGGATATATAGTATACATTTTTACCTTTTAAAAGTTATAAATTTTTAAAAGTTTTTTGATTAAGAAAAAAACTTTTAAAAGGTTAAAGTATATACTATACATCCAAATATACTATATATCCAAAAAAAAAAAAAAAAAAAAAAAAGAAAGTTGCATAAAATTTATGCAATTTTCTTTCTTTTTTTTTTTTTTTTGGATATGTAGTATATATAACAGTTTTAAATATTTTCAACGGACTTTTCTGTAAGAAAAAAAATTTGTAATTATCTTGTTTTTCTTTTACCATTATTACGAGATTACAATTATCACGTTAATGTTAGCGATTCTCGACGACGAGATCTAACGGTCTTCTACGGCTCCCGCGGGGAGCCGTAGAAGACCGTTCTTTTATTTTTTATCGATATAATTTTGTAATATTTTTTTATTGTCATTTGTTTTATTTTTTTATTCTTATCTTGTAAATTTTATATTTTATAACGAAATGTTGTTTAAAATGTAATAAAGAACAAAAAAAAAAAAATTAATTTTATTAAGTTTTTTTATCTATTGTAAATACTATGAGCCAACTTGCCCCGTAGATATTTTTCCAACTTACTCCAAAAACCTGTTTTTTAATAAACACCTAATAAATCATGAATAATGGCAACTATTGAAAAAAAAACTGAATAGATTTTTTTTTATACGAACTACACCTTTTCAAGATGTAATTGAGAACTTGAAAATTGTAATTAAAAAACGTAAGATGTAATTTAGAACATGGAAGATGTAGTTAAGAAATCGTAAGATGTAATTGAGAAGATAAAAGTTTTAATTGAGAAAAGTTTATAATATAGATTATCAGAAAGAAGTTTTTTGCACTTTTAATTTTGTTGCCTTAGTTTACCTTGTAATTTTAGGTTAGATCCAAATGTGGCCAAGGTAGTTGGTTTTCAATAAATATATATATATAATATATTATCGAAAAAATAAAAAATGGATGAAAAAGGCATTTGTGGTTTTGGTGGTAACTACACTTCTTCTAATGAAATTTAAATTTCCGCTGCGGACCTAATTGTATGCTATCTTATATTTGACACCTAAAGTTTGCGCCACAGCCACCCAATTGCCATTTTTCTCAGTACATTTAATAACTCTTCTTCTATCATTTGATAAAGATAAAACATAATGCTTTCTTTCAACTGGTTCAGTTGTATGTATTTCATGTCTACAAATTGGACAAGGTGGTTCTGGTTGTTCCAGAAGTGAATGTAAACAAATATGGTGAAATAAGTGCTTGCATGGATTCAATTTAATAACAGATTTTCCGTTCATAGTGTATTGACAAATAACACAACGATCTTTCAATTCCATTACTGAATTACTGTATTGCTGGTGCATACAAATGGTAAATTTGATATTATTAACTTATTAAAATGCATGTCAAAGAAGATCTTTTATAATGACCGTTTAAGCTTTCATTGTGAATTCGCAATTACAAATAATGTATTATTATTTACTTATTACAATTTCTTAATTACAACTTTTGTTTTTCTAATTACATATTGCGATTTCTTATTTACATGTTGGGTTTCTCAATTATATTTTTCCTAATTATAAGTTGTGTTTCTTAATTACATATTGCGACTTCTAAATTACATGTTGCATTTCTCAATTACATCTTACTTTTCTTAATTACAACTTTCAAGTTCTCAATTACATCTTGAAAAGGTAACTTCTTTGCAAAGTTATATCGAAGGGATGTTCCAAAAATTATGTTTTTATTTAAATCAAATAAAGTGAATGTAACATGTATTAATATATACTATCTAAGAAAACTTTTGAGAAAACTTTTGTTTTCTTAAAAGTTTTCTTATATTTTTGACAAGTTGTAAAAGTTACAAATCATTTTTGGTTAAAAAAAAAAAAGTTAACGCAAATATTTCGTCAAGATAAAAATATTTATTCCGAAAAGCGTAAGATTTAAACTTTTGGAGACATAGAGTAAAATTTTTACTATAATTTTATAGAGTAAAATGGGGTATAACTGAATACTTATATTTATAATTAATTTTTTTAATATAATTAAATGATTTTTTTAATAAATTTTGTTTAATTTTTGTTGAGAAAAATGAGCTCTATCCGAATATGTTAAAAAAGAAAAAAAATCTCTTAAAGTTTTTTAGTAAAATAAATTTATTTGAAAAAAAAAGTGTTCAGTTTTACCTGACAATTCGGATAAAACTGAACGTGTCAAAGTATTGGTAATTAATTATTATTTTAATTTTTCAAAATTGATCTGAACAGTAAGTTGTGAAAAGTAAATTATAGCAAAGATTTGTACAGGAAATTGTTAGCTTTTTAAAACTTAAGATAAGTTGAAAAAATATTAGCGTTCAGTTTTACCAGAAAATATGACTTTTTCAGTGATTCAGTTAAAGCTGTTTTTAGAAAATAACAATTTTATTTCTGAAAAAAGATTCTTGATCAGCGTAACTTTTACTACAAATCCATCTTTTTACTTTAATGTTATTTCCTATTTTTTTCGAGATTTTTACGACAATATAATAATAAAATTTAAAAAAATTAATACTCATGTTCAAACTTTTGAGTTTGCTACAAAATTATTAATTAATTTTTTTTTATGTCATTAGATAGAGCACAAAATTTTCTATATTATAAAACTAAAATAATTTTGTTTGAAACCAAATTTAGTCAAATTTATTAACATTTTCATAAATGTTTAATTTTCTCCGGTGTTCAGTTCTACCCCACTTTCTCTATTGAAATTATACTTATTAAATTAAATAAAATCAAATAAAAAACAAGCAAATGCATTTTTATCGCACATCAGCATTACTTCACTATTTCTTGTATTATGTACGCTTAAACAGAAACTCGTTTGGAAATGCTGTCTGCTGAAATTCGTTTAATAAACTGATTTTTAACATTATAATTATAATGCTCTAAATTAGTTTATTTAACGAATTTCAGATGAAAACATAATATCGGAAATAGTGGAGTAATGCTGGTGTGCATTAAAAATGCATTTATTTATTTTTATTCGTAATCATATTGACAATGCCCACAAACCCCCCTCCCCATCCTAACCCTTAGGACTCCACCACCCTACTACTACTGTCTGCTATTAAGTTCTTATTATATTAATACTCAATTAAAAACAATTAAAAACCCAGTTTTTAATTGTTTTTAATTGAGTATTAATATAATACTCAATTAAAAACTTAAAAAAAATTAAAAGACATCATCTATCTTCGACCGATAATTCCGAGAAAAACGCGTTAATCATTTTTACTACGAAATATATATTATTACATTATATAGGCATAAAAATATAATTTAAGTATTATACAATACTAATATGCTAAAAATGCTTATATTAAAAATTTTACTGTTAACTAAAATTTTAGCACTTTAAGACTATCCCCGACGGGCATTTGTTTTTAAAAGTTACGTTCTAAATGTGTTTTAAATGTCTTTTAAACATTAATGTTTAAAAGACGTTTAAAAGACATTTAAAATACATTTAGATCGTAACTTTTAAAAAAAATGTGATATCCTGATTTAGATCGTAACTTTTAAAAAAAATGTGATATCCTGAAAACAAACGGCCCGTCGGGCCGTTTGTTTTCAGGATATCACATCACTTTTTTTTTTGTAATTAAGTTAAAAGCTAAGGAAGAGTGAATTTTACACTTCTTTTTATTATAAATATAACGGAAGCACATATATCCCCGTTTAAAACAAATTTCTAATTTTTTATACTTTGTTAATTTCATTAAATCCTCCTTACCGCTTTTTAAATTCTTTTTTAAAAACTCTTAACTTAAAAAGTTATACTTAAACTTAAAAGTTAGTTAGCTATTTTATGATTACTTCCAAATAAGCAAAAAATCTATTTAGAAAAATTCTTTTTAAGTTTTTGAAAAACCCTTATTTACAAATTGTATGAATCAACATTCATTAATTAGTCATTTGGGAAGAAACCAACTAATAGTTTTATCAGTTGATTTAAAACTACAACAACTATGACAACAATAAAATTTTAAAATATCATACTGACGTTTCTGAGCTTAAACGTAATATAAATCTATTTGTATCTATATCATAAGCATGCTCACTTATTTTAAAAATTGGAGTCCTGGATACTACAACCACTAAACTAATGTCATTTTGTTGTAACTGAAAAATCATCCCATCACTTAGCTGCTTTGTGGCAGCAAAATCAGATATAAGGGTCCAGTCTTGAGACTGACTACTACTCACATAGCCCACACAAGGCTGATCGCATGTGTAACGTTCTAAAAAGGCTCTTGCTGACATGTCAAACATTATGCAGTGAGCTAAATGCTTCATAATAGATTCCAATGGATAATGTAACTGTTGACGAGTTGTACGTAAATATTTCTGCAGTGGACGTGCTAGGGTAGGAAATATTGCTTGAGCAGCTTCATCAGGATTCATTGAACCATTGGCTTTTTTACTAGTGTCAAAAGCATTAAGTCGCGCAATGTGACCAAATGCTTCCTCAGCTGCGGCCACAAGGCGAGCTTTCCGTTTTCTAACCCTTCTATCAATTTCTAACTCCTCATAAAAGCGATCATTGCGACCTTCTTTTCTTCGACCTAATGCTGCTGCTGCAATTACTGCTTTTGATGCTTGCTGAGAAAAATTTTTACCATTACCCATATCCATTTTATTATCTAAATCATAAAATTTAATATTTGAAAACTTGTTGATTTTAGAACGAGAAGTAGGACGTGGAAGGTATGGATTATATTCGTTAAAATCAATATAGTATTTCTCTAACACATTTACAGCAGCTTTTTGAATTGAACATTGACCTATCATATAGTGCTTTCTTGAACCATCTACATTTCGTATAACAGATACATTGTAAATATTCTCTTGGTGTCGAATCCACATCAATAGTAATGCCAAATAATGTAAAAATAGCATTGAATCAATAAAATATATTGCAAAAGAAACAATACCAGAGAGATCACTCGATTTTTTTCCAAATATTTGAATAACATAAAATAACCAAAACAAAGTTACAACCAAATATCCAATACTCAACATTCCAACCTTAAAAACATCAATTCTGGGCATGAATGCTTTAGTTGGGCGAAAGTAAAGAGCCCAAATTCCAACTAACAATACCAACTCCTTTACACCGATACTAATGTACATACCACCACAAGTCATTGCACAAGAGTCAGTTTTCCAATTGCTTATTAAATTAGGCATGACGAGAAAAGCAATAGGAGATAAAATTGCAAATATTCCAAGCCCAATGGAAAAAATTATAGATAATGTTTGTTTGAAGTTCAAACAGGAAAAATTTCTATGTTCTACATCGTCATCATCAAACAAACCCATGTCTACATCTTCCAAGTCTGTGCATACTGATGTTGCAGTTTCTAAAATTTATAAAGATATAAATTTTTATAAATGTGTGCGCATATATATATATATATATATATATATATATATATATATATATATATATATATATATATATATATATATATATATATATATGAGGATAAATAAGACTATTTTTGCTAAATTATCCTCAAATGCTAGTTACTTACAAAAATGAATAAACAACTCGAAGAATAATAAAAAAATAAAACAAATAAGCTTGTTATTAACAATGTCAAATAACATTTGACCTTACCTGTTATTGTGTTCGTTTCACCCCAATTATCATCTTGTGGGATTACTTGCACCTCTATCACGCCATCATCAAGATCATCCGCCATTCTTACTTAATCGTATGCAATTTAAATCATATGTAATTTAAGTTTTGTAATAAATAAAAAAAAACTGAGAAAAATTCTCTTTCACGAAATAAATTTCGAAGAACAAATTGAGGACCAAGTCGAAGCTATAGAGGTAAAATATTACTTATTTTTTTCAAATTTACTTTGTTTGTATCAAAACTCAAGCGAGAGTATTTCTTTATATTAAAATTTTTATAAACTCAATAAGTCCATTATTAATAAAATCTTACTTCTTTCGGCTTCGTTAGAACTGAAATAATACGATTGGTTCTTTTTGAAAATATTTTACTTTGTGTATTAAGACTGGTTTTTATCGTTACCAACCTCTGAAAAGAGTTTTTTTTCAAAATTTAAAGCGAGATTTTTAAAACTTATATAAATATGACAACATTCGGAAATAAAAAAGAAATTACAATTTTATTGGTAAGCTTGTAAAAGTTCAAGTGATTAAAAACGCTTGAGATTTAATCCATAATTTTACATATTCAATTTATAAGAAAAAAATTTGACTTTTTTTAAAAATAGACATTTCTATTACAATGTGGCGTCGAAATATTGAATGGAGACTTTATGAATAATAAATAAAAAAATTTTTTAAACAGATTAGTTTACTAGTTAAGCTTGACTTTTAAAACAAGCACATTTTTCTTATACCACCTTTTTAAAAATCAAAACAAGCAACCCTTCTTATATTTGTTTATTTACAAGAACAAGAAACACTCAGTCCAGCCTCGGTGTTTTTTTTTCTGAGTGGTTAGAATCTCACGTTGTTTTTGTTTGTTTTTCTTTAAATTATAAGTTTAACTTTATTGTTCTTTTGTTTTTTCGTTTATAAACTTCAAATAACAGAATTTATGTCTTATTTTTTTTTCGTCTGTGTTTGCTAAACTTTAAATCGATCGACTTAAATGGCTTTTTTAAGATTTCTATATTGTTATTTAAATAATTGCTGGAGTCCTTTTAGGTGGCATTAAAATAAAAAGCGGATATAGCTAGAACTTAAGTTTGCCAATTTTATTGCCCTATTAAGTAAATAAGATTTATAAAAAACTTTAAAACTCTTTATTTATTCAACCAAGGTATCTGTGATCAACGTGAAGGGAACATTTTTTGATCTTTATTCATAAGACCCAATTAAAATAAGTAAATATCACTTAAAAACTTTTTCCGACGTCCAAGTTCAAGTTTGTTTGAGAAAAAAATTCTTTTTTAAAATTTAAGCAATTTCTTTAAGCAATAAAAAGTTGCTAGATTTCCAAGTAAAAAGATCTTTCAAGACAAAAGGGATAAATAACTTTTCAATATGTAATAGAAATAAAATTAGCCAATCATATTTTAGGATCGTGTGACAATTGTCATAGAGAGAGACCATAAAACGATGTTGCAAGATAAAATTTGTTAAGCGACCAATGTTTCCATTTGGTCATGCGACCATTTTGAATATAACCTTAAGAAAAACGATCGGGAAAAATTGACTATAGGAAAAATTGACTATAGGAAAAATTGACTAGATTGCACGTTTTTATTTTGTAATATCATTTTAAATTTAATCAGAGGTGATTTTACGGGTGTGTGTGTTGGTTGGAGAGCGTTCCACCCGCCACCCCCAATTAAGGTGGTTTTCAAGTTATGATCGCGTATTTGACTCAATTCAGTCGGGTAAATTTTACTTTTGAAGACCTTTTTTTTTTTTTTGAAACCAGTCAGTACTTTTTAAAGATTCCCCCTCTCCCTCATTTTATTCGTAGAATTGCCTCTGATTTTACTGATTTTCATCAATTATTTTAATTTTTTTACGTCAACTTTACAGTGTATATCTTTTATTCTTCTTTTGATTGGCGATCTTTTGTTTGTATATATTTTAGTATTTCATAGTTCCTGGTTATTAATTAACATAATTTTTTTTGTGTTTAAACTAATTTACTTATTACTTTGATAGCATTTACAAGCCATATATAAAACAAACCATAAGTCATAAGCAGAAAATATGAAATTATATAACCATTTCTTTTCAATAAAAGACACTTCTCATGTTTATGTAACAAGTATATTTTATGTGTCATTGTAATGAATACATGCTGTTAAAATAAAAAATTTTTTAAAAGTTATTCAGAATAATAGTTTTAAATATTTTCATACATTTGAGTAAATTTCATTATTAAATAAATTACATAAATATAACGATATTTTCAAAGTAAAAACATTAAAACAAAAATGCGATAAAAACTTTTCTAAAATTAAAAAACAAAAAGCAAAAGGTTTTATAAATCTCGCTATTCTAAATCTAACTCTAAATGTAAATTCTTTATTTAGATATTCTTTAAGATTCTAAGTATTACCAAGTTAAAATATTTATTTTTAGCAATGTTATAACAAGACACTAAATAATAATAACGTAAAATAATTAAAAAAAATAATAGAAAAATAGAAAACTGAAAAACAAGATTTTATTAAAGAAACTGTTGCTTATTTCATGTACCCCAATACTCAACTTCAAGAGCAAGAAGTTCTTCCTCCAATAGTGAATACTTTTAAAAGGTTCTGATTGTTCTTTGATTATTTAACCACTTTACTTAAAGCAGGAAATTCATCTGGCAAAAGTGCATACTCTCGACAGATCGGGCATGTTCTTTGCTCGTTTAGCCAGCAACTTATACACTAAAAGATGTAAAATCAAAAATATATTATAAATTATATTATAGCGACAACAATAATAGTAACTTAAATGACATTTTTTTGAGACAAGTTTTCGACTAACACCCATTCTCAAGTTGTATATAGCAAACAAGTTGTAAAAAACAAATTTTAATGGCAATTATAAATTTCAAAACTAAAAATGAATAAAAATTAACTTGATAAATAAAACTTAACAAATACATCATAAACGACATTTATCTTTAAAAAAGTATTTTTTAAGCTGGTAACGAACTCTATCTAAATTTAAAAACAGGAAAAACTAAAAAAACATATGCAGCAAATAAACAAGATTTAGTAGCAAACATTACGAAGTAGGTAAAACTCATATTAGACAATAAATTGTACAAAAGTTTGTTGAAAATTCCTTTCTAGGTTACTAGGTTTTTGCTGACAGTTGTACAAACCCAGCCGAAACAACTCAGAAAAAAGTTACTCTTGGTTTCTGTTGTGTGTTTAAAATCTTCTAAAACAAAAAGAATAACACGTGCCAAAAATGGTTTTCATTCCGTGAAATCAACTATTACTATTCACCAAAAATACCAGTTAAAATATTAATGGTTTTACCGATACGGAAACGTAGTATTATATTATATAAATTTCCATGAGAAATGTGAAACCGTTGATATTTTTGATATTTAAATTTGACTTTAAAACCTCTAAAAAAACACGTGTTAAACTCGCCCGTAATATAAACGTATTTTTGGTTAACAACGACTGGAAAGCAGGATGTGCAGCTTTAATTAAGAAAGATATGGATCGTGCAATTTTATAGGCTCCTTGTCGGCAGGAAAACTTTTTACCATTGTTTTAGGCAATCTTGTACATTAGTAACATAATATTTCTGTCCTGTGCAACCCCTAAATATTTTTTATTTCAGCCCACTTTTTTTTTACCAGTAACATGTTAGTTAGTGAAAAATAACTTACTAGAAGTTTTCGAATGAATTTTCAAAACCTGACGGTGAAATCTTAAAAAATGTTGAAAAATAGACGCGAAAACCGCAATTTACTAAAACTAGGTAGCTGTGCTAAATGTTTAATTGTCTAAAAATTTTAGAATAAGTATTTTTTAATGATTATGCCCCTCATATAAAAAGTTTAACTCAAAATTAAAAAATATATATATAGAAATGGGAGACCCTAATGTATGGTCTTTAAGATAAAATTATTTTAAACTATTGAACATTTGGTGGGTCGCAATTACAATCAATATACAAAATAAAAACATAGCTAAATACTACTATTTTTTTTATTCATAAACTGAATCATTTTTGAAACTTTTCTAAAAAAATTTATTAAAAATAACTAGTTAAAAAATAGTAGAGAATTTTGGACCCCCCTAATATTATGCTTTCTAACCGCTCAAATAAAGCTGTTAGAAATGATTCGACTATCTCAAAAACTTTCCCAAACCATATGAAGCAAGCTTAAGGAGAAGACTAGCATTCCAAACCTTATCGAAAGCAGTGATAGAACAAGATCAAAAACCTTATTGATTTACTATAAAATATTGAACATCAAGTGAAGAGCATGAAAAAATTTTTTATGCCTGATGATGGTCTTAACTTATTAGACCAAAATATTGCAAAATACAAGAAATAGTTAGAAGTGCTTTTGGTTTTAGTATCTTATTTCATAATCAAATACAAAAAGAAATGTCATTGAAACAATTTAAACTTTTGAAATAGCAAAACTAGCATGATTAAAATAGACATAACGGAGATAACAAACATAACAGAGATGCTCAAAAACCAACAAGTTTAAACATTTAAATCACAAACTTGTTCAAGGTGATTTAAAGTTCCATAAGACCTTTAGTTTGTTTCTTTTTTGAAAATTAAACTTTTTTTATACTTTAATACATGTACCCAAAAATGTATAAAAGATATCAAAACTTAGTAAATAGAGCATTTAAAACACAAAATATGAATAGAAGTAAATTTAATATCTTTTTTCTAAAATATAAAGTAAAACTTTATTTGAGCAAAAAAAAATTTTACTTTTCAATAATTAGTTTGAACTAAAAAAAAAATTACCGCTTTGTGAAAAATATGACCACATTGTAAAGTTACAGTGGTTGCAACACTCATATCAACAAAACATATTACACATGCTTCATCATTTCCAAAAATAGAATTCTTTTTTTTATGAGTTGTAACTGTTTCTTTCCATGTGGTACACTCTTGGTTAGCACGAGTTCGTTTTGTAGGTGCTATAACAAAGCAAATTCATTAGTCTAATAAACCCCCATTTTTCAATGAATGCCACAGTATATAAAAAATGTTAACAATAAACATTAAATTTTAAAGAAAATAGCAAACTAGTCATGTGATTGGTCTCATTTTTAGTAACTCTTTCATTCTAAAATAAAACAAAATTAGAAATTAACAAATTTGAACAATCACACCATTTGTGAAATTGGGGGAGGGGGGAAGGGGTGCAAGTGTGTGTGAAGATGTGCAGATTAGCTCTACTTTTTGATTTAAAATTTTGAGCAAGCTGGATTTACCATTAATTTTTTACTTTATAACAGAAAACAGAAGCCAACAAAAATATTTACTACATTTTATATAAAATATTATCAATTCTAATAAATCGTACATTATTTTGATTTAAATCTATTTTAGTATCTTAAAAGTTATGTTTTGCATTTAAAAGTTTTCTTAAATTTTTACATGTAAATATTATTAGATAAAAAAAAACAAAAAAAAAACAAACATATTAATACATATATATTTATATATAATTTTTTATATAAATTTATCTTTGTATATTTTAATAAAATAAATTAAATATATAGAGTAAAAATACCACAAACCGGACAGTGCACAAAAGTGAACACTTATGGGAAAAACTAAATTTCTTCACTAAAAATAAAGATATTCGCAATTATTGAAAAAATTTTAATTTTTAGAGTGTGAAAAATTATAAAGTTTCAAAAAAAAATTATTAAAATGATTGCTAATAAAGATATTTAAGTTCAAATAAAATCTAACCCTATAAAATCAAACTTTTTTCTGGAAATTTCTGGATCTTAGAATGAAATTAGGTTCATGAAAGATTTTAAAAGACGACTTAAAAACAAAGGAAATTTTTTTAGAAATTTTTTTCTTATTCCAAATATAGCTTTAGACTTTCGAAATCTTACTCTGGTAAAAAGTTATGATAGAAACAAGATTTTCTTTACTTTTCACTTTAAAGCGGACACAATAAATCCCCTTATAATCAATTAAAATTTAATAGGTAAATCTGTTTGTTTTTTTTTCACTGAAATTGAATATTTTAATTATATTAAAATTAATTTTTTTAATTATTTTTTCACACTGACTGAATTTTTTTTTATTTGGGTTTTTTAAGTTGTCACACTTTCGTGTTAATTAATTTTGTACTTTTGCACATAAAAAGTACACAAAGTAACCACAAAAGTGGTTTCAATTGCGTTTTCGTTTCGTTAAAAAATCGTTTCTTCAATTTCAAAAATCTCTATAAATCTGTAACTGAATTGAATTTACTAAACTTAAAATGGAAAAAAATTAAACAAATGAAAAGCCTTACACTGAGGAGACATTAAAAAGCGCATTGAATATGATTGAATTGACAAGAGTCGCAGGTCAATTATACCGCATACGAAAATCAAATAAGACTTTAGTAGTTGGTAGTGACAATACAACAAAATTGAGCCCTTTTTATTAAGTTAACCTTAGTTCACCTTTTTCAGATGCTTGGCAATTAAAGCTTTGGTAGACAATTAGATCAAGCCTAAAGTTTAGTGAGAGACAATTTAATTGAAAATGATGAAACGTGTTTGTTCAAAAATGGAACGCCTGGTCGCAAATGGTACAAAGGATTTATGAGTCGATGGCACTCAGAACTAAGTGAAAGAACAGCTACTTACATTGCATCCTTGAGAGCAGGGTCATGCACACCAGAAATTATTACCCATTATTTTGATGTTTTGAAAAAACATTTTGATTTAGCAAAAAAAGGTTTTAGTAAAGCCATGCATTTAAGGAATTGTGATGAAACTGGCTTCAATGGTGACAAAGGCAAAGCGAAAGTAATTATAAGAAGAGGTAAGAGGTGCAAAGCTCCACAAAGCTGATGGATTCCTTCTACCACCTTTTATTGTTTACAAATCAAAGAATCGACTCTATGATGATTGGATTAAAGGAGGCCAACCAAACACACTTTACACAACATCACTATCTGGTTGGATGGAAAGTAATCAATTTTTGCAGTGGCTCGATGAAATGTTAATTCCTTACACTTAAAAAATTTGTGCTCAACATATTTTACTTTTGAATGGCCACAGCACACACGTGTCATTAAGTGTAGCCTTAAAGTGTAAAGAAAACAATATAAAACTAATTTGCATTCCCGCCCATTCATCTCACATTCTGCAGCCTCTTTATGTTGGTGTATTTTTCATGTCTCTTCATGTTGGTGTAATTTTCCTAAGTCTTCTTGCACAGTTGTATAGAAGCAACAAAGCTTACACTCATACTCAAAATATTGCTGGTTTTGAAAACACTGGGCTTTTTCCATTAAACCAAGACAAACATTGACAAATCAAAATTACAAATTTGTCAAATTTTTAATAACACTTTAATAACATTATCAGCAGTTACAAAATCGCAGCCCAACTTCTTTGCCTCAAACTGCTTAACAAACACAAACCTTAATTCTGCGTGCAACTACAACTTTAATTCCAACTTTAAATTTAACCTCTCAAGAGGAATTGGCGACTTGTGTAAAAATCAGTCTTAAAAGAGCTCTCTTGAAGCAATTTCAATTCCAAAATGTTTACAAGCAAAAACCTGCAAAAAAAAAAGCCAGAAATGTCAGAACTGTGGTCAGGCTTTTACAGAAGAAGCGTGTGAACCAGTTAAGATAAGAAGAAGACAAAAAGCTATTAAAATAAACATATGTTGAAATTGCAGCAGCAGCAGAAGTAGAAACTCCTACCAAGAAAGCCAAAAAAAAAGTACAAAAAGTGCAAAAATTGCCCAAAGGTTTTTGAAAAAGAAAAACCAGAGATGCTAGTTTTATGGAAAACTTGTGAAAAATCAATTTGTGGTTTGTGGCTTTGTGAAACTTGTCTCCCAAAAAGATATATAAAAGGCGAAGAATTCTTTTGCACAAAAAGTTGCAGAACTTAGTTTATAAATTTTTTATTTTTATTTCAAGCTCAAGCTTGCTCATGTGTTTTATTTATTTTTTTCTAGTTTTTTTTGTTTGTATTATTATTATGTGTATTTTTTAACATTAAAAACAAAAAAATTGAATTAATCAATTTATCTATATTTTTTTATATGATTTGGACCTGTTTGCTTTTAGGGATAATTTTACAAAAAGCAAACATTTTTTTTTAAAAAAAAAAATCTTATTTTCCATAGAAAGTTAAATTTTTTTTTTACACTGCATAATTGTTCTAATAAACAACTATATTCCAGAAAAAAAATTCTACAATTTCTTAATAGTAAAAAAAGTTATATAGCTTTTTGTGAAGAGTGTCTAGTTTGCGTTACTTTTTATTTTTTTAAATAATGTATGTATTTTTATATAAGTTTATATTTATATATTTTAATGAAATAAATTTTTAAATATATATTTTTAAATAAAATATATATACCTTCATATAAATTTATATTTATATATTTTAATAAAATAAATTATATACATTTTTTATTTATAAAAAAAATATATAAACTAGTAATTTCCTTCTTCTGAAGCCTTGGAGAGATAAATTAAAAAAAAAATCCACTAAGAGCCTGCATATTAAAATAAAAAATTGTTCCCTTACTTTTTCAAGCAAAAAGACTATTACAATAATTCTAAAACAAGATACTAATGCAAAAAGATAATTTTGCTACCTTTAAAATAACAAATCCAAAAATTTTTTAACCCAAAACTTTTTACAATTTATGAAATTATATTTGAAATATTTTATTTATAATAGAATAAATTTAAAACAAATCAATGAAATCTTAAGCAACCTTATATATTAAACAACTCCTTTATCTTTTTTAAAGGGTGGGATATCACTCAAAATTCAATTGAAAACAACAAAATAAAGAAGTAAAAATACCAACTATATATATATATATATATATATATATATATATATATATATATATATATATATATATATATATATATATATATATATATATATATATATATATATATATATATATATATATATATATATATATATATATATATATATATATATATATATATATATATGTATATATATATATGCATATATATATATATATATATATATATATATATATATGTATATATGTATATATATATATACATATATATATATATATATATATGTATATATATATATATATATATATATATATATATATATATATATATATATATATATATGTATATATATATATATACATATATATATATTTATACATATATATACATATATATATATATATATATACATATATATATATATATATATATATATATATATGTATATATATATATATATATATATATATATATATATATATATATATATATATATATATATATATATATATATATATATATATATATACATATACCTGGTTATTCAGACTCTTTTTGATCATTTCAGAAATGTTATTGATAAGTATATTAATTCGCACTCCTGATAACGATCCACTATTTAACTTTCTGTACTCTTTCACATGATAACCAAGTTCATCACTAATATAAAAAGATAAAAATAAATAAATAAAAAAACACAACTTGAATACAGCTGTCAAAAGTTATCAGCCATTTAAGTCACATTAATACATCATGATTGCTAAAGTCACATAGTGATTGTCATCATAGTGATAAACAGTGATTAGAAATAATCAAAAAATGGCATTAATGTCAGATTTGCAAAAACCCTATGTAAAATGTTCTGATAATGAAAATAGTTGCAAACCATATTTTCATATTTTAAAAATGACTTCTTGTTTGAACGACCAGCTGCTCTAGCAACTGCTTTTTTTTTTCTTTTTTTATAAGAAAATATTTTGAGTGAAAACTTTACTAAGTGAAAACTTTAAGTAAACTTTTTAACTTATTTTTTTTCCCTCAAAATACAGCTGTGAAATTTCCAACTATTAAAATTAAGAATATTAAAAAGATTTTTATATGAATTCAGAGTTTAATATAAATTATTGTATAATATTACATTTCTTGCTCTAGAAATAAACAGAAAGATCATTTTTAGACAAATATCAGCATATAGTTTAATATAATATATATATGATCTTAAAAGGCAAAAAATATAGTATATACTGTTTATATTTTTACTATCCCAATCTTTTTTTTGCAATCATAAAATATAGATGGTTTGTCATTTGACATCTGTTATTAACATAATGTCATCCTTTAAATTGATATAGCTTCAAAATCTACTTTAAGTTAAAAGAATTTTCAAAAAGTCTACATATTGGCTTTAACATTGTCTAAATAAAGAATAAAGAAAAAAACTTCTTAAAAGAAACTTAAAAAAAACTTCTTTTGCAACTGGTGATGTTATTAAAAGGTCTGAATGTTTAGAAATTTTAGAGAAAAAAATTTACAAAAACTTAAGGTGGTCAAGAACAAAAACTATGAATTACATACAAATAAAAAATAAAGGATGTTCAGTGATCTAAGTATATTTTTCAATAAAAGTCAATTTCCTGGTTAGAACATAAAATTAACTTGAATTTAAAGAACTCAAACTCTCAGACAAATCAGAAAAGCCAGAATTAAAAACAAACAAACAGCATACATTATTTTTAATAAGAACAACATTAAACAATAGCAATTTCAAATCTGCCTGAAAAAGCAATACAAAGTACAAGTACAAAGTATATACTCAAAATAGCAATATATAATTTACAAATAGGTAAACAAATAGATAATAAAAATTAAAAAAAAATTATTAAGTACATTAACAAGATTAACAATGGGTATATGATATAACCAAAAATATTAATATATTTTCTTTTTTATTTGTTTGATATTTAATATCAAAGAAATAAAAAAGAAGTCTACTGAATACGAAAATGTTTATTTAATAAACTATACATTATAATTTTACTGAATCCCAGTAAGATTGGGGATAGAATCTCAGTAATGATTATATATATATATATATATATATATATATATATATATATATATATATATATATATATATATATATATATATATATATATATATATATATATATATGATGGGGATAAGATTGGAAAGTAAATAAAGAAGTGCAGATATTTATTTTACAATTATCTTCCAATTATCTTGTACCTTACATCTAAAAAAATTGTAGACTAAATTATATGTACATCTCTGGCAAGAAGGTAAATGTGTTATTACAAGATTTTCTAATTTATGCTGTTCAAATAATAGAATCACAAGAGGCACTAATTGTATCTAAAATCAATAATAAAGAATTGAGTTGATTTTTGTTGTAAATTGGGGATTTGATAGAGCCAGTAATTTTTTTTAACTCAATCAAGTTTGATACATTATTTTAAACTTTATCTGATGATTCGCTTCTTACTGTTATAATGATACCAAAAAGACTTCTTTTGGACTGACTTTATCTCCGCACCACTTACTACTACCCTAAAGCTGATTTGGACTTTTTTGTGATTTTCTTCGTGACAGTTAGGGTGATGTCTTTTATCTCTTCACTGATAAATGCACCTCCTATGTAACCTACTGGGTCCAGGCAGGTAAGGAAGCTTTTATTTTTTCTTGTTGGTTCCAAGTCAAGCCTAATTCTACACCACAGTTTTCACTTTCTTGTGCAACTGCTATATTTAATTGTAATTATTTTTTTTCATCTTTTTCAAAAAAATAACTCTCTTGAGAACAAACTCCCATTTATTATTGCAAGAAATCAATGTAAAAAAAGTTCTGTCTTATGCTAAACTCCATTATTCCCAGTTTACTAAATCTCATATCTTAACTCAAAAGTTACGCTCTAGAGACGTTGAAAATCTTCAACAGTGTTATTAGCAAAGGTCTAATTCATGAGAACTATCTTATTATTATAGATAATATAAAATTGTTTGCAATTTAATTTTAACTTTTTTTCTATTTTGACTCTTGAATCTAAACACTTATTGAAAAATTTGAATTTATTTGAATTTATTTGAAGGCAGAATCTAAAAGAAAATAAATGAAAAGGTGTTACAAAAATAACAATTTTAACTTTTGTATTTTATTTTTATTGAAACTTGGTAAGTTAATAAAAAACACTGGATTTAAATGAGAATGCTTGTGTTACCTTCTATTTAGTCTAAGCCTCTAACTATGACAAAACAGCTGCTTAACATTAAAATGGTATATATTTGAAGTTATCAGCAAAGCATATATGTCGAACACAAGGTTGTTATTATTCATTTTTCTTGTTGACATTTTTATTAAAAAACTCTAACAAGACTGCAAGCAAACACTAATTACATTGGGAGTTAGCAAACAATTAATTAAAAATTATGACAACAGTTTTCAATACCAGGACGAATATGACATTTATAGAAGTAGAGAACAAAATCAGAAGAAGAAAATGGTTGACATAAGTTAGATTTTATCTAATGTACAACAAAACAGTTAACAAAAAACAATAGAACAATAGGATCAAAATCTGTATAGATCAGGGGGGGATCCAGGGGAGGATCCAGCATTTTATGGTCTTTAAGATAGCTAACCTCCAAACTCCAAACAATTATGTCTATACTTATGTCAAATAAGGATGCTTTGCAAAAAATTGCCCCTCAATTTAAGCTGACTTGTATCATTAAAGTGACAGGAAGAGTGTGATCATTTGGTTCAATATATGAATAAAAGAAAAAGTTTTTTCAAATTTATTAAGTTTATTATATAAACAATTAATTTTGGCTAAATAAATCTATTTATTTTCTGAATTTTAGTAAAGGAGAGGAAAAGAAGATTGGTGAAACTGGCCTAATCAAACTCTAATATCCCAACAAGACACAACATTTTGCAAATATTGACACAAAATCATTTAATTCTATTTTAAAATTTTATGGGGATAATGCAATTTTAGAATTTAAATTATTAAAGTTTTAAAAAACTTGAAGGTTATAAGAACATTTTTAGGATACAAATATTAATACAAAACAAACTTAACTTTCTTTCTTACTTTTTACATATAGCATTTTACAATATCAATAGTATTATTTACGAAATGACCATATGAGTCACTGAAGTTCATATTTGAAGTAAGGTCTTCTGATACTATCAAAAAACTTGAAATACCAGAAAAGCCCAAAAAATAACAAAAATATTTATATAAATTTTATTAAAATAAAAATTTACAAAAAATATTGACAATGCTACATATTAATAAACTTATTTTAAAAAACACAACTTTATGGATTATTTTATTAGAGAATTTCATGTTTTTGAATGTTATTTTTATTTCACAAGAAAAATAAACACATAGAAGAGGTTTTTGTCCTACAAAACCTCTCGTATGTGTTTTTGGAACCATTTTCCTCATTACAACTTGACATTTCATCGTATACCCAAAGATGATTTTGTAGAAAGAAGCAAAGCCAGATACAATGTCTATTAAATTTTTTGGTTTCATTTGTAAAGGAATATTGTAAACAAATTCCAAAACAGCATTCCACTATTATACCAGTGCTGATAATATGGGGCATTGTGCCCTATAACATGGACTTCTAAAACCTGTTTAATGGCTGAGTTGGTAAAAACTCATGATCCTTAAACACATCTAGTCCGCTGAATTCAAACAGACAAAGTTTCTTTTGAAAGACCTTAAATTACTAGGCAGTTCAAAGAAAAACATCCTTTTTCTTTTTTGATACAATTCTGCATTTTCCCCCTCAGATCTTGTTATAGGATATGCTCCATCTATTATTCCAATATATCCTGGAAACTGTCAAAGTTTGTAAAATCTAAAAAATTTCAAAATACTGTTTATATATAAATAAAACTTCAATTTTATAAAAAGAACCAAAAGCTGATATATATCATCTATAGTATTATATATATATATCATCTATAGTATTATATATATATATATCATCTATAGTATTATATATATATATCATCTATAGTATTATATATATATATCATCTATAGTATTATATATATATATCATCTATAGTATTATATATATATATATCATCTATAGTATTATATATATATATCATCTATATATATATATCATCTATAGTATTATATATATATATATCATCTATAGTATTATATATATATATCATCTATAGTATTATATATATATATATATCATCTATAGTATTATATATATATATATATATCATCTATAGTATTATATATATATATCATCTATAGTATTATATATATATATCATCTATAGTATTATATATATATATCATCTATAGTATTATATATATATATCATCTATAGTATTATATATATATATCATCTATAGTATTATATATATATATCATCTATAGTATTATATATATATATATATCATCTATAGTATTAAATATATATATCATCTATAGTATTATATATATATTATCTATAGTATTATATATATATATATATATATATATATATATATATATATATATATATACATATATATATACATATATATATATATATACATATATATATATATATATACATATATATATACATATATATATATATATATATATATATATATATACATATATATATATATATATATATATATATATATATATATATATATATATATATATATATATATATATATATATATATACATATATATATATATATACTATATATATATATATATATATATATATATATATATATATATATATATATATATATATATATATATATATATATATATATATATAAACACACACACATATACTTATAATTTTATTAATAGCATCTTTTAAATAAAACTGTAATTATAATAATACTATAAGTATAGTTTATATTTATAAAATTATTAGATACACAATTATGTATGTATGTATGTATGTATGTATGTATGCATGTATGTATGTATGTATGTATGTATGTATGTATGTATGTATGTATGTATGTATGTATGTATGTATGTATGTATGTATGTATGTATGTATGTATGTATGTATGTATGTATGTATGTATATATATACATATATATAAAAGTCAAAGATAATATTAGATAATAGTTCAAAAAACTTTTTGAACTTCAAAAAACGATTTGAAATCTGATTTTTCGAGAACGAATTCATTTCAAGTTTTTTTTCTTGCATTACACTTTAGTCAGACTTCAGATTTGAAGTATAACTTGAAATTTTAAGTTTGCTTCTTGCATTCAGAAAAGATTTTTATTTTCTCAAGTAGGCTTTTCAAGTCTAACTTGAAAACGGCCGGTTTTCAAGTATAGCATGATTTCAAGTTTGCTCTTTACATTTGCTCCAGTCAAATTTTAGACTTAAAGTATGACTTTAAATTTCAAGTTCGTTTCTTGCATACCACCCTAATTCTCTTTAAACTATTTAACAAGTGCTTCACTGAGTCTTGTTTTCCTGCCTGCTGGAAAATGGCATCAGTGGTTCCAATTTTCAGTAGCTCTGGAGAATATTCTGACCCCTCCAACTATCGCTTGATCAGTCTGCTCTCTTTTATAAGCAATGCTTTTGAGCCTTTGATTAACAAATTTCTATTTTCCCATCTCAAGTCAAATAAGTTACTGTCAGACAACCAATTTTGTTTTTTATCTTCTCATTATAAAGCTGACTATTTAACTGCTATTACTGACAGATTCTATCAGACATAGGATAAAGGCAGCATGGCAAGGGCTGTTGCTCTTGACATATCTAAAACCTTTAATAAAGTTTGGCATGCTGGTCTACTCCATAAGCTTGCTTCATATAGAGTATCTGGGAAAGTTTTTGAGATTATCAAATCATTTCTTTCTAACCACTTTAAAGTCCTTGAAGGCCAAAACTCTTTAATTCCAGTAACTTCTGGGGCACCTCAAGGTTCTACCCTTGGTCCTGTTTTGTTTCTTATCTACATTAATAATCTTCCTGACAAACTTACATCTTAATTGGCTCTACTTGGCGACAACTCAACTTTATATTCCTGCCTTGACAAAAAGTCTTCTCTATTTAATCGCTTAGAACAGGAAGCTAATCTTAAACTTGATCTCACTTCTGTAACAGATTGGGACTTGCAATTGATTGTGAATTTTAACTCCAACAAAATCCAGTTATTTACTGCAAACAATTATCGCAACACTCATGACATTCCTATATTATCGAATTACTTTCCTACTGAGTCCTCTTCGTTTATTCACATAGTTTATTTTATTGCACTTTAGAGTTGTCTCCTATCTTCACGTTTTCCTGACAACCTACAACTTTTCAAGTCTTCTTTTAATCGTTTTCTTGCTCTTTAACTATATTCTTTGTTTTCTAGTAACTCCCAACTTAATAGAGGTTGCTTGCAGCCTTATTGAGATTGAATTAGAATAATAATAAAAAAATAAACTTGTTATTCTTGTAAAGTGTGGTAAAAGATGATTCATTAAATATCTATTTTATTTGTTCATATAAATCAGATATTAAGGAATAATGAGAAAAAGGAAAAAAAATATAGATTTTGTGAAAACTAAAAAAAAGTTAATATAAAATTCTACGAAGAGCATTATGCACCAATGAAAAGTTCTTATAGTATAAAATTCCTATTTGTATTTATAAAATTTTAGCTTACAGAGCTCAAATTGTTGTTGAACTAATTTTTGTGGTTAGGATGCTAAAAAAATTCAGATAATGATAAAAAAAAACTTATAGAATTCACAACTTAATGATATTTTTTGTTGAGGCTTAGAAATACCAGACCCTTATATTTCCTTATATTTATTTTGAAAAGATATCCAAAGTCTGTATCTAAATCAGTACTACCAGAAGAGGTATTGCAACTTTTACTGATTGAAAATTTCATAATAAATAAGGATGTTAGTGAAGTGGTTACCTAAGGTTAGGAAGATGAACCTGAGTTAATTGATGTGTATAGAGAATTAGATTGTTAAAAAAAAAGAAGGAAAAAAGTTTTAAAACATTTTACAATTAAAAGTAGTTGTTCTCAGGAGGGTCAACATGTGGGACAACAGGTGGGTCAACATGAAAACCTGTATTGGATTAAATGAAGAAGATTTGAAGTTTAAAATATTGATGAAAAATTAATTTGGGCTAATACTTCCTAATACAGAAAGTAATCTACATTTACTAGAAAATAAATGTCTGTTTACACAGCAAGAAATGTAATTTTACAAAATACTTTATATTAAGCTATAAAAGTCTGTTTCTCTTCTCATTCATAATGGCTGACTATTATACTTATAACATTTATTACTTTTTGGTAACAACATTTCAGTTCACCGTTCTTGATGCTAGAGGTAAAAAAAAGTTTTTACCTCCATTATCAAGAAACAGAGAATTGAAATGTAATTTTTTAAAAATAAATAATAAAAAAAGTCATTTTTAAAATTATTTTATATAATTATAGATTTTAATAAAATTAATTTTAATTAATTTTTTGTGTGGATTATTTCTTTTATTTTTTTTTAAGATGATTCTACAGGTCATGATGTCACAGGTCATGATGTCACAGGTCGTACAGTTTATGATGATAATTCTATTAACATGTTACTTGATCATTCTAATGAAGGTTTCCTCACACACAGGTAACATTTCACACACAGGTCACACTTCACACACAGGTCACACTTTATACATAAAAAAACATCACACAAAGATTACACCTCACACACAGATCACCTTTACACACAAAAACACTTCACAGTTACACTTTAGAACAATTACTTTCAAAATATTTTTCTCATTTTTCTAGATAAAGCATACTCTAGATAACACCCTGTTGTTTTTTTCTTCAACAGTAAACTTGCAAACTATTTAATCCTGCTAACTTATTGATGCATTATTTCATATGATACACTATTATTATGCGTGTTTTACATACTACATAGTTATCATGTATATTTCACTGCATAATCATTATGTATGTTTTATATATACTATATAATAATAATGAATGTTTTAAATATTATATACATAATTATCAAATTAGTTTCATACATATTTGAAATAAGTATGAAGATCTTTATTTCAAATATGTATGATCAATATCAAATGCCATTATCATAAAATTAGAAAAAGTATGTTTCCTATTGGTCATGTATTAGTACAGATTTCATTTGTCTTGTATTGGTAGTAAATTTTTTATAAAATTAGAAAAGCATGTTTTGCTTTTCTAATTTTTTAAACTATTTTAAAAACTGAATTTAAATGAAATCATTTAAAAAAAAAAAATTATGAAACAATTCCTTACCGCGATAAATTAGGAAATAGTGGTACAAGACCCAATATTATCTTATCAAACATTTTTTTATTCTTTAAACCACTGCTTGTTGGAGATTTTTTAACATCAGGTTTGTTATCTGATAACAAAATAGCATTTAAACACAAAACCAATTATATATATATAAAAATACGTACATAGAGTATTGAGATCATATAAGTATAGTATGTATGTATACATTTGGGTGGTTTGAAAAAAATATTTTTTTTAAGAAGTGCATATTGGAACCTCCCATTCTTATCCATATACTAAAAAGAAAATTTGGTAATAATCTGAGGTGACTTGAAGCATTTTTAGAGGTTGCACAAGATTCTTAAACATCAGACAGATCCCTAATATTATCAAAAAAAAAAAAAGTTCTTCAAAAGTATGTTGGGTCTCAAAAGAAGCAAAATTTTATAAAAATTTCAAAAAAATTTTTATATAAAATATTTTATATTTCACTGCCTAAAAAATTACATTTTAAACTAAGAATAAAAGTATGCATTTTTGCAAAAAAATTTTATTAAAATTTTTTTTCTTAATAATTTTTATAAAATGATGATTATTTTTGAATTTTTTATATAAATTTGCTTCATTTGAGACCCAACAAGACATATTTTTTTATATTAATATTAGGAACCCATTAAATGTTCAAGGGTCTTGAGGCACCCTTAAAAATATTTTTTATTCAAAAAACTTTTAAATTCAATGTTATTTTATCATATAGAACACATTAAGGTGGAAGCTGCAGATATTTTCAAAAAAATTTTGCTTATTGAACTACACTCAAATATATATAGGGAAGAGTGGCACCATGACACTGGTTTTTGATTTGTAACAAATTTTTTAATACACTTTTTTTTTTAAGCCATTGGTTTAATTTGTAAAATGAATTTATACCCACAAAAAAATTTTTATAAATTTATAACAGGTTAAACTAGTTTCACAAAATATAACAGGTTAAACTTGTGAAACTAGTTAAAGTAAAATTAGAAATCTGTTTCAAGGTACCCCACCCATGGGTGGTACTCCACCTCAATTACCCCACCCATGGGGTACCTTGATACAAACTACAAGCATCATTAAAAAAGTAAATAAAAAAGTTTTTTTCAAAACATAGCTATAGTAGTAATTGTTTCACTATATGAAAGTGGTTTTCACAACTCTTAAGATGCCTCCACAACTACAATGTTTCATGGTGCCCCATGTATCATAGTGCCCCACTCTCCCCTATATATATTTTAGGTCTGTGTATATATATGCATATATGTATATATGTATATATATACATAGTACACAAACACATTAGGGTTATGACTTTTTTGTAACCCCATGTTCCTGGGTCATAAATTGATCAGCATTTTTGTACTAAAGTAATGAAAAAAACATGAATTTAATTTTCTTGTTGAAAAAGGTCACCCACAAACTATAAATTTGAATTT